CTTAGAACTGGAGAACCACAATTTATTAAGCATTTCAGAGTCAGAGTCTGATCTCACAGATCAGATAATCCTTTATTAGTCCCACAACAGGGGAGATTCACACTGCTATGTTCTAATGTGTAATAACGGTCAATCTCACTCAAATCACTGTATATTTATATGTTATGTCCAGTGGTCAAATCTGAGCTGCTGTGAGCTTCATGATTTAGGATTAATTTTAATTCTACTTTTAAATAGAAATATTAAATACACCATTAACACACTCACTCAGCTAGTGTGAGTCTCCACAGTGTGAGTTTGTTTTCTCTGGTTCTCAGATCTCCAGGTGGAGGTTCCTGAGAGAGTGATAGAGGGAGATAAAGTCACTCTCACATGTAAACCAGCTTCAGGCTGTATTACAGTCCAACATTCACCTGGTACAGAAATGGACATCACTTTATGCTCCAGAACTGACCAACTCCACTGCAGTCGGTCAGCAGGATGATGACAAGTTACACTGTGATGTATGGAATCAGACCTTCGCTCTCCTGAAGTCACTCTTAATGTTGGACGTAAGTAAAGGTTATTTGCTCTGTTCTCAACAAAAAGATGAGAGTCTGTCAGAGTATCAGTGTCGTGGCAGTGATCACTCTGAGCAGAGTGCCAGGTAGTGACTGCAGTTAATATTTCACAGCACTTATACTGTAATGTTTGTTAACAGTAATGAGAGCTTTACATTTTTAATTGGGTACAAACCAGTATTTATACGAGTTTACAAACTGACAGCAGTACATTACTATAAGCAACAATACCCAATAAATATAATAATGAAACTGCTTTTTAAGTCTTCAGTTATTTTTATTTAAACATTCTTCATTTTAGTTTTTTCAAATCTTCAAAATAACTTTATCTTTCAGCTCTAAAAAAGCTAACGAACGTCCTAACAGTCCTCTGACAGTAAGTTCGTGTAGTGTGTAATGTCTGCCCACTGTAAGGCTGTGGAGCTTCTCACTTTGTGTTCTTATCTCTAAATGAGCTCAGCGTTTTCACAGCTGACTGTTTTAATTCAGCTGAGATGACCATGTCTTAGAAATGAGCTGAAGAGAAATCATTTACACATTACTGTGGTTTTGTTGTTGCAGGATTGTTGCTGAGAAAACCAGGCTGTGAATTACAACCCTAAATCTATCTGTGCTCTAAAGTGGTCTACAGTAAATATTGGCTGCACTTACACACCTCCAGAGTCCCACTATGTTCAAAAAGCTTTCGGGACTTAAAGAGCTGGATAGATCTGGCTCAGAACTCCTGATCTGTTATAGTGATCCAGAGTACACAGGCAGAGTTCAGTACCTCAGAGATGAACACAGTGACTGCACTCTCAGACTGAGTGATGTGAGAGAAAAGGATCAAAGTAAATACTACTTCAGATTTATAACAGACCAACCTGGAGGAAAGTATCAAGGTGCAGGTGGAGTTGATCTTTTCTGGAGGGCAGTTCAGTGACTCTGACCTGCAGCAGTGATGCAAACCCACCTGTACAGAGCTACACCTGGTTTAAGAAGTTGGATAAAGGAGCTCTGCAGAAATCAAAAAGTCAGATCTACAGAATCTCAAACATCAGCTTTGCAGATAGGGGGGAATATCAGTGCATGGCAACCAACCCTCAAAATTCTCAATACTCAGAGTACAAGTCATTAACAGTTTTATGTAAGGTCATTTTCTGCTTGGCTTGAATTTTTAAAAATGAAATTATCTGACATCATCTCTGTATTTAAAGATGTTCTACTGCTTTCTTCTTTTCTAGATGGTCCAAAGAAAGTCCTGGTGTCCATCAGTGAAACAGCAGAGGGCAGTTCAGTGACTCTGACCTGCAGCAGTGATGCAAACCCACCTGTGCAGAACTACACCTGGTTTAAAGAAGGTGGAAGCTCACCTGTAGGATCTGGACACAGTTACAGGGCTCTACAGAGTGGATCCTACTACTGTGTGGCTCAGAATGAACACGGATCTCAGAAATCAGCTGCAGTGACTGTCACTGAAAAAGGTATTAGTGATGAAAACACAACCTGAATAACACTTAATAACATTCATAAAAATTAGCATAACTTTAAACTTTAACATTCATCTGAACACAGGAGTTGGGAATTCAGCTCTATATGCAGTTATTGGAGTCACAGCTGGATGTGGATGTTTATCTGTTATCATTGCTGTATTTTGTGTAAGGTAAACAAACACATCTTTATAAAGAGCTATGAAAATGAATATTAATGTAGATTATTAGACCTTATTTTAGCTTTTTTATCACTGGAACCAGTTTTTGTAGATGTATCATTGATTTATGTTATTTTATATAAAATATTTATGTTGCAATTTTTGCACAATATTATTGTTAATATTAATATTAGTGCTTTTTATACTGTTACTTTTCAGGAGAAAGAGAAGAGGCAATTCAGCTGATGATGCAAACCAAAAACAGGCAAGTCAGTTACTACACAAAAACATGTTTAGCAGAATGAGATTTAGTGACATGTTTACTTTTGTTGTAGCTCTGGGTAAAATGCGTAGTTCACTTCTATAACTACAGAGCAGTTTAAGCTACAGACATGATACACATATCAGACCATTCAGCAGACCTGGCCCAAACTAGCGAGCATGACATCATTGAGCTGTGATGTCAGCATCAATGAGTAATTTGGCTCCGAAAATCATCCAAAATCCTGATATTATTCATCTGTTATTAATCTTCATATTTCAACAAAGGGTTAAAACACTGACATGACTCACACATCAGATCACTCATCAGACTCTGTCCTCACAATCTTATGTGATTTCATCCACGTGTCCATCCATCATCCAGCAATCCAGCTCCAAATTCACCCAAACCTCACTCGCTTCTGTCATATTACATCTCTGCTTTCAGCCTTCATATTATAAACAAAGGGGTAAAAATAGCGAAAGGATTCACATCAGAACACTCAGAGGAACCTGCCATCACTAGCCAGAGTGAGAGAAACCAGCTTTAACATCCCACAACCCAGAAATACAGCACAAACACACAGCCAGATCACTGTAAAACCTGCTATTAGCTCTCTGAATTATCCTTCAAATGGCAGCAAAGGACTTCAAACATCACAGCTCAGCAGGACTTACCCTGAGTCCAGAGTGACTATCTGAAGTTTCAGTGAAGATCCAGTCAGTAATGAATTTGAGAAAACGTTCAGATCCTGCGTTTACCTCCATTTAAATGGCCAATTTAAAGTAACAATAATCAGAATAGAATTTCTGATCATCAGAAATTTACAGATAAACACAACCACATATATATAACCACACAAAACTTGACCACAACATAGAAACATGACAGCAAACACTAATCACACTCTACATGCCTGTGTCAGTGCTGAGAGAGTTCAGGGTTCAGGGTGGAAAAACACGACAGAAGCTTTATCTCAGTCCAGTCAGTGGACCTTACATGTTAATAAAATCTATGATCTGTTCTTGATGTTTATCAGTGAGAACTCAAACTGCTTATGTTCTCTAACTCTCCTCTCTCCAGAACGTTGACCCTAATGCTAAGGACGACACGTACACAGCTCTTGACCCCGTGTCCAGGTCCTCTGATGATGTGTACAACACACTCACAGTAAGTGTCTCTTCAGAAACTCAGTTCAGTCAGACGTTCAGATTTATAAAGAATTCCTACAAAGTCCACATTTCTTCATTTCTCCTCCTCTGCTTCATTCTCTCTTTCCCTCACACAGACTGTTCATTCCAGTCCTTCTGATGATCTGTACTCAGCTCTGGATCCTCAGTCTCGCTCTCCTGAGTACGACACTCTAGCAGTGAGTGAATCCACTTGTACTGATGAGTGTTTTGTAGCTGCTGGAACTGATAGACTTTAATCTACAGCAGCGTCTCCACTTTGGAGTCTCCTTCACACCTTCATCATCTGTGGAGTTTGAACTGGGACAGATCTGTTTTCTTTGGTCTCCTGATGTCGTCTTTTATCTGTTATTCTGTGTTAATGTTGTTCTCAGCTATTGACATCACTGGATCACTGGAAAACACTTATTATTATTATTATTATTATTATTATTATTATTATTATTATGTTCCTCCAACTTAATCGACAATTATTTTGATCATATCCAACAGCCACTAGTTAGAACTTCCCCAATCACATGATACCACCAGCACTAGGAGGGTGAAAGCTTACACAGGCTTCCTCTGAGACCTGTGAAGAGCCGTCGTATCTTTTTGAACTGCCGCTGATGCATCACTGGACAGCTGAATGTGCTCAGAGGAAAGCGCCAACTGCCAGCTCTGTTACACCAGCTAACAAATACCTGTGCTGACTAGCATCACACTGGGTAATGGGGGGAGATGGGGGGGCCATCCAACCCACCCAGAGAGAGCGACGCCAATTGTGCTCTCTTGGACTCCCAGCCACGGATGGCTGTAGTATCACCAGGGATTGAGCTCATGATCTCCTGATGATGGGGCAACACTTAGACTGTTGCACCTCTTGAAAGCCTGCCTTACTATAATAATAATAATAATAATAATAATAATAATATATATATTTGAATAATAATAATCATTGTGAATCTGTCAGTCTTAGATATATATATAATATATATATATATATATTATAAACACAGATCAGTCAGACGTGTTTGTGTCTCTGTTTCTTTCAGACTGTCAGAAACCAACACTGAAACCATCACCATGGAAACCACTCAAACTGAAGAGAACCACCCACTGAAGTCAGATGAGAGAGAGAGAGAGAGAGAGAGAGAGAGAGAGAGAGAGAGAGGTTGAGTGATGTGTTCAGTACTGAACTGTTTAAAGGTCTCATATCTTACATTCTCTTATATTTAATTTTTTCCACTCATAATATTTGTGTGGTCTGTTTTTTTATTATGCCTATTTATTTTTTTGAGCAATGCATCCAAAATCTCAGAAAGGTGTAGAAAAAATCTGTACAGTAAACATTTTCAGATTATAGACAAAACACAGTGATCTATCTGCAGCCTATTAGCGCTACAAAGTGTACAGATACAGTCATGTGCAAAAGTTCTGAACCCTCCCAGTCAAACGACATGTTTAGGTGATTTTCTAAGGGAACAAAACTAAATATGGCGTTTTTCTTTTTTTCTTGAGTCTCTGACCCTTTAGTCTCAAAATGAATGAACTGTTTATCTCTTCCTTTATCGCCCAGTGATGCTGCGTGTCTCAGAGGAAGCAGGTGCTGGTACTCCCCCTCACAGAGTCCTGTGATTGGGAGACCTAGTTAGTGGGAGGAGACTGAGAGTGTTAAATTAGTGGATCATTTTAGAACGAATCATTTACAAACATTAAGAACAGCTTACAGATGATAAATGACTCACCAAGTAGAAAAGATCTGTTCTCAGCCTTAATCAGACTAGTTCTCTGACATGTTACTGAATAATGTTGATTATGGTCAAATATATCTGAAGAATCTTTTATATATATTTACATTTTGTTTTTTAAAACATAATTGTGTGGCTGAAGGAGTGAAACTGTTCTTTGTGTGTAATAGAGATACATTTTATTAGTTTTTTGTCTTCCACATTGTTTCATTTCATCATTTATTATCATTTTATCTTATTTTTTATTAGCAGATCTTTTTTATGTTTGCTGCAGTGTGATGTATGAAAACTGCTGTGTAAATGAAGCTGTTGCTGGGTTTATTTTACAGATCTTACTGTTTCAGAACTGAAGATCATTTAGGTTCAGTTTGGAAAACGATGCAAGCGTTCATGTTCTTCTGTTTGAGCATCATTATCTTTATCTCTGCTTCTTCCAGACATCAGTAATGACATGTTCTCTATGCAGGTCTCAATGAAAAAGAACGCTGTTCAGTTCTTAAAGGTTCTTCCATTTGGTGACAAAACAGACTAAAGAGAAAAATCTGTATGAATGAACTGAAAACAGATCTGTGGCACTCAGGATGTTGATTTAAGTGTGTTTAACCATTTACTACTAAATGCTCGTTACACATTCATAATATTTCAGTATTCTGAGTTTGGAGTTAGCTCAGTTTAATGAAGTCAGGATTATTATCCTTCATTTCAGTTGTAGTTACAGACCGAATTGGACAGAATTCTTTGAAAAAGTAGTGATGGCTGAATACTGTCCTAAATACACTGTCCTAAATGTGTTCAGTAATGTATTCCATTACAATACATAACTAACATGTACAGAGTAGATTTAGGATACATGTATACATTTAGAGTACATACTGATTAGGCACAGGGGAAACACTCTTCACACTATTCCTCATATAATGTTTCTGTTAATATGCTTCATGAAATTTTCACCTATTAAAAAGAAATGACAAAATACTCAACATTATTTTGGCTTTTATCACCTGGTTCAGTCCATAATCCCACTGCTGTCTCATGAACTAAGTAAACAATTCCCAATATCCCAATAAAAATCTTGAACATTTGACTGGGAAGTGTGATTTTGAGTTAATATTGTCTGTAACTTACCTCGAAACGGCTTTGTGAAATGTTAACCACTGCAGTTTACGGCTTCGGTGATGAAGTGGTAGAACACTTGCGCAGCATCTATAGGGACTGGGTTTGATCCCCAGACTCACCATGTGTTCAAGTTCTTCAGCTTAGCTCTTCTGTTGTACATAAGCTTGACACTTGGGTCCTGTGTCCCCAAAACCTGTGGTGGTTCACCTGGTAGGCCCTGGGATATAACTCAGACAGCCTGGGTTCACGTTCTCTGTCTGGTGAGCCGTCCCACGATGTGAAGAAAGAAATTCCCCAATGAAAGACTGAAACAGGATCTTTGTTGTCTTTCTCATAACACAGTTTGCAGAAAGAATGACTGAATCAGAACATTTTAAAGCATGTGGTGTGTGAGAGAGACAGTCAGCAGCACTTTAACCTCATACAGTTTAACAGTTTAAACTGATGAGGCTCCTCCTGATCTCTGTGTTCAGTCTTCGATTCCCAGAGAGGAACATTGTTTAACAAAGGTAAAAAACACTCTTAGTGACTTTTGGAATAAGTAAAACGTCATTAATTCATAATTAATGTAGAGAGAAATTAACTGACTCATTTGTGCTGCTCATTGAGCTCATTATAAAACTGCCATGTTTATGTTAATAAGTGAGGACGTGCAGTTTTCCCTCTTTTTGTTTGTTATTATTATCTCACAGTTTAGATCTCACAGTAGTACTAGGCTCACCTTAGTTAGTCTAGTTCAGATCTGTAGGACAAATACAGATTTATGGACCACTGTTGGTCTGAGATCAGAACAAAAAGGAAAAAGAATGTCTGAGAGCAGAAGGGGAAATTTGTTTTCTTGTGACGAAGTAAACAATTTACATTTAATTTACATTTACAGCATTTAGCAGACGCTCTTATCCAGAGCGACTTACAAAAAGTGCTTTGTCTATCTAGAGAAAGTATCTTTGCTAGTTGAAGTGGACGCTCACTATGCCAGTGTAAGATTTAGCCGCACTGGTGCTGCCAACAGGTGAGAGAAACCAACCTTTTTAGCTTCTTACTCATTGTGGATCATATCCAGTGTAGTTTGAGCTCATTATTTTATGCATGTTTGTACTTCCATACATGCTGATTTATAATTGTATGTTTTGGCTTAAGTGTGAAACTTATATACATATGTATTTGTGTTTGTTTGTTTGTTTGTTTGTTTGTTTATTTGCTACAGTGCTCACTAAGCATAAGCATCCCGTTAGCATTTGACCTTGCTTGAGTGAATCATTGAATGAGTAAATGAATAAATTCATTAATGAATAATTAACTAACTAAATAAATAAATTTCACCTTCTTATTAAATTAATAATGCATGGTCATGTTTAAATTCTGTGGGTTTGTCAACAAGAAGTCTGTATGTTTCATGCCTGTTTACTGTTAATGTACATCTGCTCTTTGTTTTGGTCTCATTATTGGGGTTTGCACTCCTCAATTTAGACTGAGATTCATGGCTGTTGGGAAAAGATGACCATTATGTTATTATTATTCAGAAACCAATACAATTTATAATTGAACAAAAATCCAAAAATGAAACTAAACTCATCATAATGGCTCATTTTAAAAGATAGTAGTTGAGATGTAAAAGCAGTATAATAGGGCCCACTTTATATTAAGTGTCTCTAATAACTGTGTAGTTACATGTGAATAACATATGCAACAACACTGTAACTACTAATGATTTAGTCACCGTTACAGATGGATTATAGATGTACAGCTTATGTAATTACACAAGTGTATCTTAATAGTAACAGCCTATTCTCTCAAGTAATTACACAATTGTAATAACAAAAATGTAATTACATTGTAATGACTGGAACAGCAGTTTTTCCCCCTTTTTTTCTTTTCAGGAGTAAAAGGAAGTATGTAATGACTTACATTAAGACATTACTTACATTGTATTTACCAACTTTCCTAACATTTAGCTAGCATTTATGTTGCTAGTTGTAACCAGTTTCAGCTTGAAACCATTAAACCATATTTTAAAATCTTTTATGGCATTAAATGTGTTGCATTTCCCCCAAAGTAATGTCTATATTACCACTCCATTATTACACAGTACCTACATAGCAACTACACAGGAACTGTCCACTTATTTTAAAGTGTAACTTTAACACTGCACTACAGGACAGTTCCTGTGTAGAAGATACACTTGAGTAATGAGGCAAAACTGAAGTTGATACACATGTGTAATTACATAGGCTGTACTTCTGTCATCCATCTGTAACAATGACTAAATCATCAGTAGTTACAATGTTGTTGCATATGTTGTTCATGTGTAATTATACAGTTATTAGGGACACTTAATATAAAGTGGGACTGTATAATATAAACCACTTTCACTGTCAATACCTAACACAGTCACATGAAGGATTAAAGAGTTACGCATCCTCGTCTCTGTGACGACATGATGAAACCTCTGAGGTCAGTGAAAACAGCACAGTGTGGGTTGTGGTGGGCCATGGTGGCCATGCAAGTGTCGGAAAATGCTTTATCCAGACTTGCTTTTTATTGTGACACTGCACTCTTTCTCACTTGCTCTCTCTCTCTCTCTCTCTCTCTCTCTCTCTCTCTCTCTCTCTCTCTCTCTCCCACCCCCTGTGTGCATCTGTCCACTTATAACTGTCTCTGATCATGAAACTGTGCTGTCAAAAGGCAATTTATATACATGCACCTGTAATAAGAAACATCAGTATTCTTTCCTATGGATTCCTGTTTAAAGATATATACAGTCTCTGACAGATGAGTTAGCGAGCTATAAATCTATGGAGCCTCTGAAAAGACAAGTATACATTTTTTAAAGGTAAAAATCTGGTGCGCACCTGATTCTATGTGGCGAGCATCAGATACTATCAGGTGAGTATCAGATACTTTGTGACAGGCACTAAATACCAATTATATTAGGAGCTCACCTTAACAAGTTCACTGAACAAGTTTAAAACTAAGAATCATTTGTGAATTTGTAGCCATAAGTCTCCCACTTCGTGTTTCCTTCTTGTGGTTGAGCATGGCCCCAGCTGCTGCTAGGAGATCCAAGCCCAGTACGCATGCATCCCGAATAGACGTGAACCTGAACTTGTGTACTCGGCTCAGAGCCTCCAGGACGTCTGAGAGCCAATTTGTCCCTCTCGTGTCAACTCGGATGCCGGCAACTTGTGTTGGATGGCTTGCCGGTGACTTGAGTTGGATGGTCGTCAGTTCCAAGTTGGCTGGTGTGCTGCTCTTGATGTGAGAGGACACATTTTGACAC